ATGTCACTCCCGGATACGGGCTACAAACAGATGTCATTAAACATCTGCTGAACATTAAAGGACAATAACCTACTTCATTGCTGAGGTCACAGGTTAATCACGGTCATTAAAAAGGTCATAAGGTTAACCCCTAAGGGGGCGGGTCAAATGTCAAAGTCATCAATCAAAAAAGATGACATTCCGTGAATCGTAATAACTACTATCACATTTGAACCAGAAGTGAGTTTTGCTACATGCAGGCTGCAAAGGTGATGTTGTTTTGATGAAAATATTTCCAAATGACTTGGCAAAGCTTTATGCTTTTCAATAATTCCTTTCTTTGCACGTTGACAAATTGTTTTAAAAGAAAGATAAAAATGAGCAGAACAAATTTGTGTAAATTGTTTGTAAAAACATTCTTATGTAAATCGCTGCATAACACTTCAATGCGTCAGTTTATGTAAGAATGGTCGTACACACAATAGTTGCAATTGTTTGTTAGTTTTTTTAAATAGTTAGTTTAAAAAAATAGTTAGTTAGTTGAGTTGAACTGACAGCTACTTTATTGACTGAATCCAGAATTTCCGCTGTAAATTGTTACGTCTAGCCAGGACCGCAATGTGACAATACGATCCTGTCACATTACGTCATATTGGCTCGAGACGATAAGAAGCCTTTCTCTGCATTGAAGTGGGTTTCCCCCCCTCGTTCCGTTTCCCAACCCTTCCCTTTCTTCCTCTTTCTTGCTCTTTTGTGCGTTCTATTCTCTTATATTTCTCTTTTTTTCCTCTCCAGTTGTCTTTTGTCCGGGCATGCTAGCGACCCTTCAGTTATATTCCTCTATGCATTTTATCTCAAATTCTTCTCTCTGGTTTTATTGTTCCCATTTACACTTTGGTTGACCTCTCCCTATTTCTGCATGATGTCTGTGAGAATGACAGCTGCATCTATCAATGGAAGCGTGTCAGATCTTAAAAAGGCTTTGTCTAGTTGATCTACTCTCAACCACAAAAATCTGATTAAGGTTTCTCATCTTTATTCCCTCTTGAAGGGATTCACTTCTACTAGTGCATGTACGAACCAACATGTACGCACAGTTGTGTATATGTAAGGTTTCTTTAGCATGGGCAGATTAAAAAAAATTCTTCACACTATTCTATTTATTACTATAGTATTTTCTATTCACACTGTAAAGCTTTTCTGCTTTTTAACAGTAATGCATGCTTTTCATTTTGTTTACTATAAAATTAGATCTCTATGTGGCTTGTAACTAAAGATGTGAAACTCATAATAGATTTGTGCAATTAATTGTGCTGTGATGGGTCAAATATTGGTCAATGGAACATTGTTGCTATGAACTCTTCGCTCGCTTTGAGGCACAAAACCGCACCACTGCACAGAAGACTGTGAAGTTTTAGTCATTTGTTTTTTATAATTTGTTGTCCTCTCTTTAGACAACATCATGTACGTTCTAAAGAAAGGCTAATTTTCATCTGCGTGTCATTACCTTTCTCTTTTTCTTGTAACTATTCCTCCGCCCTTTGTAGTTCGTCGCATGCCCCCACGTTTTTTGATTACACCCCCCACCATGCAAGAGATCATGCCAGGTGGTAGCATTAACATCACTTGCGTCGCCGTTGGCTCGCCCATGCCCTACGTTAAGTGGATGCTTAACTCTGAGGACCTGACACCCGAGGACGAGATGCCATTGGGCAGGAACCTTCTGGAGTTAAATGACGTCCATGAGTCGGCCAACTACACCTGCATGGCCATGAGCAGCCTGGGCATCATCGAGGCTAATTCCCAGATCATTGTAAAATTTAAGAATCCACTGACTCCTCCAAGGTCACTCAAAGGTTCTCTGGTCAAAAGAAATTAAGAACTAAACCAAAGCAAGTATTTTAAATGGTGTCAAGTCCCAGTATTGTATGTTTACGTTTACGGTATTTTCTTATCTCGCCCTGCAGCCTTGCCAAAACCTCCAGGTACTCCTGTTGTAACTGAAACTACCGCCACCAGTATCACCATCATCTGGGACAGTGGCAACCCTGAGCCCGTCTCCCATTATATCATCCAGTATCGTGCCAAATCTCCCGAGAGCAAGTTTGAGACCGTGGAATCCATCACCACCACTCGCTACAGCATTGGAGGACTTTCTTCGAACACCGATTATGAGATCCGGGTGTCAGCCTACAACACCATTGGCCAAGGCCCACCTAGTGAACCGGTTGAGGCTAGGACTGGGGAGCAAGCTCCCGCCAGCCCACCACGCAACATCCAGGCACGTATCATCTGCCAGAACACCATGATGGTACGCTGGGATGAACCCGAGGAGCCCAATGGACAGATCAAGGGTTATCGGGTCTACTACACCATGGACCCATCTCAGCCCATGAGCATGTGGCACATCCACAATGTACAGGACAGCGTGATCACCACCATTCAGAGTCTGGTGGCCACTGAGACCTACACCATCAGAGTGTTAGCCTTCAAATCAGTAGGAGATGGACCCTTCTCAGATCCCATTAACGTCAAAGTGCTTCAAGGAGGTTAGTTTGTCCATTTTTAGTGGTTATTTTCAGTGTTGGGTGAGCAAAAGATGTAGCAAGGAGAGTTTCGCAATTGAAGAATATCTGTTGCTAATATTGGGCGATCTGATAGTGCAGCAAATTGAATTTAGAGATTGATAAAATCTGTTTTCAGTGTTCAGTGGGCTAACAATGTAGCAAGGTGAGCTAAGTGATTGAAAAATGTCTGTTGTCATGTTTGTTGGGCTAACAATGTACAGTAGAAAGGTGAGTTTTACCATTGGAAATGCACATTGTTTGTATTGGTTGAACTAATGGCGTAGCAAGGTGAGTTTAACAATTGAAAAATGTCTGTTGCTAAAACTGGGTGAACTAATAGTGTAGCAAATTGAATTTAGCAATTGAAAAGGACTTTTGTGTTTGGTGGGCTAAAGATGTAGCAAGGTGAGTTTAGCTATTGAAAAAGTCTGTTTTCAGTGATTCATAGGCTAAAGATGTAGCAAATTGATTTAAGGTCTCTGTTGTCATTCTTGAGTTAACCAAATATGTAGCAAAAGATAGTTTAGCATTTGGAAATGTAGTCAAAAACAACAGGTTAGCAATTGGGAATGTTTGTTTTCAAAGTTTGCAGGATTAGTTAAGCAATCGTAAATGTCATTATAAATGTATTTTGTTTTCAGTGTCACTAAAATGTAAGTACGCTACTTTATCTGGGTTATTGTTCTAACTCAGTTGCCACTGGGTAATGTTTGCTCTACCACATTCACTAAATATACAGTTGTAAATCTCTTTGTTTGTTTATTTAGTTTCATGTCTATTAAACTATCAACACTGGCTCCATTTGTAGTTCCTGGACAGCCGACCAACTTCCAGGTTGGTGAGGTGTCAGACATGAGTGTTGAGCTAACATGGGAACCGGCCTTCGAGAAGGAGGGAATCATCAGTTACGAACTGCATTACAGAGAGGGCATGGAGGAATCTCAGGTGCCTTCTCCACAACAAACCTTCTCAAATATGTTGTCAGGACCACTGTTGCACATGTCATTAGCAGTAACGTTATTATTTTCGGCCAAACAGGCAAAGAAAACATTCGGGCCAACCTCTTCCTATGTGGTGGAGGGTCTACGTGCAAATACAGAGTACTTCTTCTCTCTGGCTGCCGTCTCCAACAAAGGCATTGGAGCCTTCACCAACGAAATATCCCAAAGGACATCCCAAGCCAGTATGTAGTCCATTTCCTTTCCTAGGGACCCGAATGAAGGGTTGGGGCATTGGGGGGGTCTAATATTGTGTTTTGATTGAGAAATGCTAAGACACAATGGCAATTTTGAGCTTTCGATGGGGTTGGGAGACAACACCACACTGTTTGAAAGGGCCACTGTAACCTTCACCCTCGTTTTCCAATCCAGGGATATTGTTTATCGACTCCAGAAATATCAAGAGTAAATGATAATGGTGTGCTTGTGTGTGCAGCAGATATGTGTTAAAGACTGGATGCTTGTCTGGTCCCTGGTTTTTGACAGGTGTTCTGCTTCAGGTTTTCTGGCAGTGGTTCTTTGCCTCATTCCTTTGTGTTGTGTTTGTTTATGCATCTTAATGGCACAAAACAGCATCACCTTTGAGCCAGAAGTGAGTTTTGCTACATGCAGGCTGCAAAGGTGATGTTGTTTTGATGAAAATTTTTCCAAATGACTTGGCAAAGCTTTATGCTTTTTAATAGTTCCTTTCTTTGCACGTTGACAAATTGTTTTAAAAGAAAGATTAAAAACGAGCAGAACAAATTTGTGTAAATTGTTTGTAAAAACATTCTTATGTAAATCGCTGCATAACACTTCAATGCGTCAGTTTATGTAAGAATGTTCGTATACATGTATTTTGTTTTCAGTGTCACTAAAATGTAAGTACGCTACTTTATCTGGGTTATTGTTCTAACTCAGTTGCCACTGGGTAAATGTTTGCTCTACCACATTCACTAAATATACAGTTGTAAATCTCTTTGTTTGTTTATTTAGTTTCATGTCTATTAAACTATCAACACTGGCTCCATTTGTAGTCCCTGGACAGCCGACCAACTTCCAGGTTGGTGAGGTGTCAGACACGAGTGTTGAGCTAACATGGGAACCGGCCTTCGAGAAGGAGGGAATCATCAGTTACGAACTGCATTACAGAGAGGGCAGGCAGGAATCTCAGGTGCCTTCTCCACAACAAACCTTCTCAAATATGTTGTCAGGACCACTGTTGCACATGTCATTAGCAGTAACGTTATTATTTTCGGCCAAACAGGTAAAGAAAACATTCGGCCCAACCTCTTCCTATGTGGTGGAGGGTCTACGTGCAAATACAGAGTACTTCTTCTCTCTGGCTGCCGTCTCCAACAAAGGCATTGGAGCCTTCACCAACGAAATATCCCAAAGGACATCCCAAGCCAGTATGTAGTCCATTTCCTTTCCTAGGGACCCGAATGAAGGGTTGGGGCATTGGGGGGGTCTAATATTGTGTTTTGATTGAGAAATGCTAAGACACAATGGCAATTTTGAGCTTTCGATGGGGTCGGGATACAACACCACACTGTTTGAAAGGGCCACTGTAACCTTCACCCTCGTTTTCCAATCCAGGGATATTGTTTATCGACTCCAGAAAT